AATTGGGAAAACCACAAAATCGTGATCGGTTCACCGATTAACAATTAAACTAGCCAATTTGGTGTGTTTTTAAGCGTTTTAGTCCAAAATCGCAACTAATTCACTTGTTTATGGTTAAATCGACCTATTTAGTGTGTTTTTAAGCGGTTTAATCATAAGCGATTAACTAGGCGTGATTAACCCAGTTTTGAGCCCGATTCTCGATTTTACCAATTGGACCAATCAGGTCAGGCTGGTTTTGATAACAGTGCTAAAGACAACCTTATAGTAGCTAAGCCACATAGAATCATGTGGGCTCCTGGGGCATAACACAGTGGTGCAAAGGACAAGAGTGAGGTAGTCTCAGCCTTGCTGACAGTCGCAGTGTGAGGGTTCGATTCCTGATATATGAAATTAGACTCTTTGTAGGCACCGATGTACGGATAAGTTCTTGTTCCTTGACCTGTTGGGACACATCTCGCGATTTACCTCCCTCACGATACTTCAGGAGCGGGGCAGTAGGGACCCTCAAGATTGTGGTTCAACCTTTTTCACATAGAATCATGTGGTGTCAGTGGCTCCAAGATATTATTTATTTATTTTTCAAAATTTTAATTTTAATTTTTGTATGCACAATATATTTGACAGTATTTATAATAATATAATTATACGATATTTTTAAAGTATAAAAATACATAAACAACAATTTTATAAATGTCTCGAAACATTTTTATTGTCGTTATGTTATCTCAACAATGTTGTGCAATTTTGCACCCGATTATCTTCCATTAAATCAAAATTATTTTTTTCTCAAAATCACACAATATGATATTTTGCTTGTAAACTCAATCTTTTCTTGTTTTTTTTAACTACATTGCTCTTTAACTACATTGTCAAAAAAATACAATTCGAAAATTCATTTTCTTCGGAAAAACTCTTTCTAATGGAAGACAGGCGGAGGCTTTAAGATGTACGAGCTCTTTTATTGATTTCTGGTTTCACCACCTATCATTATTAATGTACCACCGTTGTCATTTTTCTCCACACTAACAATTGATGCTTAAAAAAAAAAAAAAAGTACGAAAAATTCTTTTTTGTAATGTTTAAATCCCTAAACAAATTATGATGCCTCTTTACATGATGAACATAATAACAAAGATTTAACGGGTCAATATTAGTTATGATGTGAAAAACGATAATATTACACAGTTGTAGAACTTCTACATTGGACTTCTCGTATGAAAAATAATAATAATAATAATAACATATTTTAACTGAATGACTACATTGAAACCAAGAACAAGTTTCAACGGTCAATTTGAGATAAGCACTACAAAGTTGAGTGAGCAACACTCTTTTTGCCCAAACTTTACATATATTTTCTCAATTGTAATACGCCTTCACAGGGTTTCTTTAAAATTGCTTCCAAGGATAGGGAAGGGAAAATGAAAACGAAACATAGCTATTGAATAAGAGAAAAAATGAAGGCCTCCTAAGAAGAAACTAAGCATTTTTAAACAAAATCCAACTGATAACTGATTTCGTGCTCTAATCTTCGACAACATATCTGTTTCTCCGAGCACCAAAAGCAAGTCTCTGTAACACGGATAAAAGAAATGATTAGATCTCAAAATCAAATCAAAACTCAATTAAAGTTGTTTTGTATCTTCCTTAACTGAGAATATCTGCGAGTAGGCTTTTAATCCTGTAAGGAAACGAATGTAAGTAGCTTTTGCCGATCCATTACTGGGGATGGATCTAATATTTGGAACAAGGTATTCAGCAACCTGTGCACATCATCAAATAGAACATCACTATAGAAAGATACCGCAGAGTGATATATTCATAACATTTCCACATTATTTCACTGAGTGTTTATAAACGTCATCTATGACTTTCAGATTATAGATAATTCATTGATTGGATGATCTGGTAACATTAGACACACCACTTCTGCTGGTTCAGCCAACACATTGATGAAAAACTTGGCCTGTAAATAATAAGCAGAAGTTGTATCATTGTCATGATTAACATAAAATAGTGTGGACAAATATTTGAAACACGTAGCACCTGCTTTGTGTTAGCACCAGACATGAGAAGATCAGTTGTAACCATCCCTGGCTGCACGGCACAAATAACAGGATTATGAAAACGATGGAGTGTAAAATAACACAGCAAACACACATACCCCTATGGCATTTATTTTTTATAATGGCAAGATGTATAGTACTTTATATATCATCCGCATCCATTAAAATCTAAAACATAATTAATGTATTATTAGTCCTTGCATTCAGTCCATGCTCACCCCCTACCTCTCCCATAACGAAACAAGAAAGTAAAAGGAACAAACTGCTTGACATGCCGGAAATCAATAAATTGCTTAGTTTAGTGTTCGTAAAAGAATCAATAATGGAAACAAGTAAATGTGATGTAATTCTAATTGAATATTGCAACAAAGAAATATATAGATAAAAAATTTTTGACTCTCGTCACAATAATTCTTGAACTGGAAATAAAGTTTATTTATTTCATGGTTTTGATTAAAGTCAAATAACCATGGCTAGAAAGTTGAAAAGTAGGCTGCTAAAAAGATGAATGAAGCACACATACCGAAAGATTATGTACCATAACATTTTTGACATCCTGCATCATCAATTCTGCCTGTAGAGAACAAAGACGAAATTTATCTATTGCACATGACTATATTTGCTAAACACAGATCACAAATCGCAGAAACATAAGCAGACCCAAATGCACAGAATGAAGATCGAAGAGATTACACTGTCCAAAACAAGTAGAAACAACAAAAAATCTTTTGCAGAAATCCATAAAATAGCAAAGAAAATGGAAGTTTGATTTGATAAAGAAAAGGTCAAAAAAGATGTAGGAAAGTCAAATTATGTTTTACACTTAACAGTTACATGCATTAAATGATCATAATTCGAAGGTTTTCCTCGAGCCAGAGGGGAGTGCATTATTTTCCAGACGACTTTTGGAGTTAAACTTTAACAGTGGCGAAGAGATACTTTTGAAACCTAGCAAGGTGCCTTCATATCTGCCATTGACATTCAGTTCTCAATTCTCGGCACACAAGGCACAATGGTTGTGCACCCAGTGAGAAGCTCAGGAAATTGCTGCCTGCTGAAGACTTGGGTTACTTGCACATGCCCAAGAAGCTGCTCAGATTTTAAAGCATAATGGATGTTTGCATTTTTATTTTTTTTTCCCTTTTTTTGATAAAATAAAATTGTACCCCATAAATTTTTCTTGCATTTTTCCTAATATACCACTACATTAAATAGTGGTTTAAGTCTGATTAGTTTATATTTGTTGTTAACAAGGTACATTAGATAGGGGAATATTAGAAAACTAAAAAATATATATAATTTCAGTAAGAAAAGTGGCATGTAATTTAGGACAAATGAAAAAGAAAATCAAGTCTGTCTTTATGGGATTGAGGGAGTATAATTAATCTTGTAAAGATATACTAGCAATAAGTCGTGTGACATGACTAGGCAGTTTGTAATTATCATTGTTAACTTAAGATGCGTCAGGAGAAGTGGAAAACATCCATTCTATATGGAAAAAATCTCCATTGGACTATATCAAGTGATTATTATGTCATAGGCACAAAACTAAAACACCGAAACCAGGAATTGCGAGTAAAATACGCACTGCATTCTAGCACTATCATGAACCCCTCCCCCCGGTGTGCAGCAATGAAATGATTTTCAAAATGACACATAGGCATATGTTTCTTAACAAATTACTGCATTGCCAGTAGTGCTTAGGCACAAATATTGCATGTCCAGAAGTGTAACTTAAATTCCACTAGAAATGGTTGAAACCTATGAAGATAGGGATCTTCATGAAAAATTCACCACGTGCCTGTAATGATTTCGTCAAATGCACCACACTGCGTTTAGTTGCTCCATAAGCAGCAAATCTGAAAAAGAGAAGAAAAATAATCATTAAGAAAGATTGGACATGGAATTGGAATTGATAAAATGAGGAAAAAATTTTGTAAGTAATCTAGCATACGAATTTAACTACATGATCTATAATAATAGTGATGGTGATGATGTAGACAACAAAAATATTATAAAGAACAAACTAAGAAAAAGGAAAAACTATATATATAAAGAATAGTCTCTCTCTCTCTCTCTCTCTCTCTCTCTCGTGTGTGTGCACGTGCGTGTGTGTGTATAAAGAATAAAGAAACTAGAGCATTCATTTCTCAATACAGCCTGTACATTGTGCACATTGAAAATTTGCATAATAATGCATACTTTGTTAAAGAAGTGGAGGGCGAGAAAAAGAAATTACGAACGAGAAAATATCAACCAGTAATGCATCAAAATAATAAAGAAATAAAAGTTATGGTAGTTTCTTTTCAATTCAGTCAGCAATAATATAATCTTAATGTACTTTTAGTTCAGAAACTGACTCGGAAATGTACCAATTTGACAATAAACAAGAAAGGAATAAGAAAAGAAACTAGGGTAAGAAAAATCAATTTATTCATATTTTCAAGGGTGCACATTACAAAGAATAAGCCCTCTATATATAGAGCAACTAATCTAAAATTAATAGAATCTATAATAAACTAGAACTTTACCCACACATTAAAACTAACCTAATCTAATTTAAATAAATATAATGTAATTTAAATTAAAATCTATTTTAAAATCCTATCTAACTGCAATTTCTATCTCCATCCAAAACTTTAACATTAAAAGAAATGAGCATATTAAAAAACAGTATGACACCTTATGCACAGAAACATGTCCAGAATGTGATTCCCTGAAGATCATAGTAGTTACAAGCAAAATGGAAACAAATTAACACAAAATCCACACCTCGGGGTTGGTCTTCCATCTGAACCGGCTCCATCAATGTTAAATATATGACCTCCTCGAGGCTGGTTTAGCATCATCTTTATTGCCTAAAACAGTAATGCATAAGCAAAGGCCATCATTCTATGATACCTCTGTAGAAGTAGAAATCCTATTTACCTCTCGACAGCATATCATCAATCCAAGGGTATTTGTAGAGACAACTTCACTGCACAGAGGATGGCATCTAAGTATTACATAAAACATTCACCAATAAAAAGTGCACAAGCACAAGAGCTCACACTAGATCTTCATCTGATGCTTCTGCCAGTGGTTTGTAACTATATGCATTTGATCCTGCATTATTTATCTGCATCATTCTGAAGATGGTGTAAGAAAAAAGGAAAATTGGAACATAGACACAACTAATGGCTTTGAACTTGAGAGGAAAAGTGTAAGGTGTCAAAAATATGGTCCATCCATTAGATAGTTGACATTTATGGAAACGTGTTGCGTCAGATGATTGAACTGATGTGATAATCAATATAGGAGTAATTTGTTGTGTCCTTCCAATAATGGTAATTGTATCAATCATTAAGATGAAACTACATTCCATATGGAGTAGCATGCTCTTGCTTTTTCAGATTCTAATGGAAAGATTTCATCAATAGCTTATTCCAGAAGTAGTAGCATAATCTAGGTATACAAATTAATAACATCTTTTCCTAGTCATAAACTTCATATTAACCACAAGAAAATAACTTGCTAAATTTCAACCTCAAATAAACCTTCTCAATATTGTAATAACATTGTAGGTGTCACTGTGCAAACAACGTCTAGTCTACGCCTTGTCAGTTAAAGCAAGAAATAATTAAATGATATGTCGAAATAAACTAAACTAAGTTTCTAATGGTAAGATTCAGAAATTTAGAGCTGGAACTCGTTATCACAAGTCATTCAATTCTATAAACCAACAAGGAAGATAGTACATGTGATGGTACCAATACGCAGTCATCATATTAGTCAAGAAGACCATTTTGTTATAGTTAAAGAGAGAAATGCACATCATTATCACGATGGGATACTATATACATATATGTGTGTGTGAAAGAGAGAGAGAGAGAGTAAAGAGATGGAATTCCAAAGATGAGAATTTGTGTATTAAGTACCCATATATCAATGTATTTAAGCTTTTCCTGTGCAAAAGCAACTAATTTCTTGACATCGTCCCCATTTCTAACATCACACTTCTTTCCCTGCATGAGGAATTTCAGCATTAGCAAAAGTACGATATACATACAAACATATGCTGCTACATATATGCACACTGTGTTGCGGGAATGTGTCTGCACTTGTTTGCAGAAAATATCTTGTTAGAAATAATATCAAGCCTGCAGAATGAGATCAATCGGTGACAAAGAACAACTGTGGTTACAGTTGTTGTCTTACTAATTTACCATCAGCATATATTAGATGAATTGGATGGGATATATGTGCTGATCCAAGTACAAAAGTTTAAAAAAAAAAAGGAAGAGTCAGAAAACCAAATGTACGACATAATAAAGTTGTGAAGGAGGTACCCACACATGCAGCTTCCCTGATTCTGATTGCAATCTTTCAAGAGCAGATTGCACTCGTTCATCTGCAAGTACATTAAGCACGTTGAATATTTAAAGATTGCTTTCCTGTTAATTACAATTCAAAAAGAGGTTCCCCAAATTCAAACAGGTTCAATAGTTTCTTAGAAGTGTGCAGTAGTTGCAAGAAACTAGATATCTAGAAAAAATCATAAATTGCGAGGAATGTATCTTGAGCCAATAAAGGTAGATCAATGGATAAAAGAGTTGCGCTCAACTACTTTCTTCAATTTCCTGTTTAAGAGTATCAGTTCAAAAACTTACTATTAATGGTACCCTTGACAATAAGGATGAAGCATACACTGCTCCTTTAGATATACTACTTTAGGCAGCTAAATTAGCCTCATTTCCACCGAAAAACTTCACATGAGAAAGAGCTATCAAGAAATTCTATAAAGTGCATTCTCAATTCTTGGTGTCAAATAAATTAGTATCATAATAAAAGAGCCAGAGATGCCACTGAGTCATTGTTTGGTTTTAGGAAAGTCTTTGTTAAGCTTAAATTATGTTTTCAAACTCTATGTCAAAGTCAAGAAAGGTTGTATATTTCCAAGATTAAATTTAATATTCATTAAGTGGTTGTAGTCTAGATGTTATTGTTTACTTTAACAGAGTTTGTGTTACTGGGGAGAGGGGCATAATATTTATCTTCAAGAAAATTTTCAGAATTTATCACATCCACTGCTTCCAGTTAAGAGGTTTGTCCTCCAGAATTTTCCTCGAAGAAATATGGATGCAGACAGTGTTTTTGTCTGCATCAGATCTCAAATCTAAATTAAAAGACAATACATTGAGAGAAAAACAAAAACCAGAGCATGCAACACATTTTTCAATTTAATTTCATAATAATCATATAAAATGTATAGCTTAATCATATGCAGGTGACTACAAATAACGGACAATCTGAGCACTCTTCAAAATGAATCTTAATGCCCTGGTTATCAATTTATCATTTGTGCATGCCTAAATTAATATGTCAATCTATAATCATGTTGGCATGCTCACTTAAAAATATTACTGCTCTGATTATCAAATTTGATCTACTTGTACGATTTATTACTTATCACTCACCAAGGGGATCTTAGTGCTTTGAATAAATATCACTTATCTATTTATTTGACTTGTTAAAGATTAATAATATAAATGTGGAGGAGATTCGAAACTTATTAAACCTTTACTCTAATTTTCTAAGTGCTTTCCTTAAAGAAAAATTCATGTTTCCATACTCAAGATTAATACCACTAGACAAACAAAATTGTTTTCCAAGTTTTCTATCAAATTGGAATAACCAAGGGGATCTTAGTGCTTTGAATAAATATCACTTATCTATTTATTTGACTTGTTAAAGATTAATAATATAAATGTGGAGGAGATTCGAAACTTATTAAACCTTTACTCTAATTTTCTAAGTGCTTTCCTTACAGAAAAATTCATGTTTCCATACTCAAGATTAATACCACTAGACAAACAAAATTGTTTTCCAAGTTTTCTATCAAATTGGAATAACTAATTCTCCTCATATTAGAAAATTTGAATAAATTAACTTAAGATACATATAATGTTGCCAATAACATATATTTTTATGCAGAATATATAATGCCTACCTGATCTCGAGCATATGATGACATTGTCATTAGCTTTTAAAAACTCTTTTGCAAGTGCATACCCTATTCCTGTAATAAGAAAATGAAGTCGATAAATTCTCATCAAAAGTCGATAAAATTTTGGGGAGAAATGATAAGAATATATAATAAATACACAAGCAGATCTATCTGAAAGGAGGGACAATTACCAATATTTATTGCAGTTTGGTTCCATAGTTTCCCTAATTATTAGTGAAATTACTCAAAAATAATAGTCCCTATCCAGAGCAATTCTTAGCTGTTGCATATTGGGGACAACAAGAAGCAATTACTCTTCTAGGTTGTCATTTATATCTGGTTCTTGAATAAAAGTACCAATAAACTAACCTTATATATAAACATAACATATAGAAAGAATCGCAATGAATACTACATGTGTTCAAGGTGAGCCCACCGTGCTGTTCATTGCTCATATACTAATATTACAACATTAGTTATTAAAAAAAAAATAATTCGACAAAAAAAAAAGTTAACAGGGAGTGAAAATCATAACTGAGAGCAAGTTTTGTAATTTATTGTACACGAATAAAGAGAGAAAAAATAATAAAAATCTGACCTTTAGTAGAGCCAGTGATCAGAACATTATATGGTGGAACCATTGGCTCTGGGGCTTGGGCCACCGAAGAAGAAGAAGCCTTGGTCGAAACCAAGGAATTTTGTAAGTTCAATTTATGTTTCATTGGCTTACGATTTCCCGCGAAATTAAGAGTCAAAAAACTGCATTTGGCGAAAATTTGATACGTGGGCTGGCGGTGAAATGGGGCAATAGGCGTATAGGCAGTTGTAGTTACGATAATTGCCATTTTTGTGTGTATCCGTTGCAGGGTAAAGAAGAAGAAGCACTGTGTAAACGGTTGGCTCCTATGGCTGTGTGGCCTATAGAACAATTCGCGGATTGGGCATCGGGGGATTGATTTAAAAGCCTTGGTCAAACTAAATATTTGTCCAAGAAAATCAAGAACTAAGACCTTTAATTGAAATGTTTAAAGTTATTAAATATAGAAAATAAAATTTGTAAAAGATTAAAATATTCTTGTACGTAAAATGATGTTATTGTCCTAATTTTCATTTCAATTTTCTTTCAACCCTAATATCCTTTCCTCCTTTATGAACGACTCAACCATGGTAGGTGCCTTCACGCTAATTTTCTTATGATCATCTTCTTCTATACGCAATATAATCACAAAATCTACATTTTCATTCCCTTGAACATTCATTTGGTTGAAGTGAATAATAAAGTCTTGCTATATTTTTATTTGACATTTGGAGAAAAAGAGAAGGTATGATAAATTTTCAATATTTGAGTTACTTTTTTTTCCCATTGTTTTGAATCATCTCTTCATGTTGTTGTATATGTGTTTGTGGTGTTCATTTGTCAATAATGATTTTGAAAATATTTTATGATTAGATTGGAGCTTTAAATGGGTTATTTTCCAATTTTATTCTTATTACCCCTTATTTGTATTTCTTAGTATTAATTGAAGTGAAATGTAAAGCGGTGAAGGATGATTGACTATTATTCTCATTGTTTTCACGTAAAACATACATTTGATTTTTTCAGTACAGAACGACATACATATTGTTTTATGAAATCGTGAATGACATAAATATCGTTTTCTAAAATCCATGACAACGTACATATCGTTATCAATACCATATGATGTTTAAAATTTATATGTTGAATTACAGGTTATGGTAGGATTGTCAATGGGTCGAGCTGAGCCGGCTCGGCCCATGAAAGTACGAGCTCGGCTCGGGCTTGCCACGAATCGAGTCGAGCTCGGCTCGTCCAAAAATGGCCGAGCCGTGACCGGCTCGCGAGCAGATATCGTTTTCCCCCTTTTTTTTTTAAACAAATAGGTAAATTGGAAAATAAAAAAGTAATTTTAATTTTTAAATCGTGAATTATATATAAAAAACTAGGTAAAAAATTTAAATCCTCCTCCTTTATACCTGCACTAAAAGTAGATTTCGAAGTAACAGTGCTAACAGGAAGTGTCAGCAGATCTTTTGCAATCGCAAATATAACTGGCCAACGTCGTTCATACCTTCGCCAGAATTCAATTACTTCGTCTGAACTTTTTTTAATTGTTTTATCTGTTGGCATATTCTGGTTGAAATAATCAATTAATTCAGCAGGCAATGCATTATGGTTTGAGCCCGTAGATGTTTGATGAGAATGAGATACCGATGACGACGACGACATGGTAGTGGCAGTGGTAGTAGATGAACACATTGCAGATGAATTAAATCTATACGAATTAATGCCTTGAAATAAATTAAATATTTCCGCATTTTCTTCTTCAATTTCAGCGGAATGAGTAGGTGCAGATGGTACCCGACTAATATTGGTACCCATTCAGTTCGCATATAATTCATACCCATTTGGTTCGCATATAATTCATACATTTCATATAATATTTGCTCTAAATTTCTATATGTGATAGATGTATCAAATGTTAAGGCGTTTGAAATTTAATCAATTATATATTTAGTTCCCGATAAATTATATCGGGGTCCATCACGCATGCTAAAGGAAATAATATAGGCAAATCTTCTCAATATTTTCTAAATTTTAATTCCGTAGCAATTATAATTTCACTAAAATCAGGGTCATTTCTGTAATTATGAAATGTTCTTGCAATTATATAAAGACGTTCAAGCATCATACAGCTGGTGGGATAGTAAACGCCCGATAAAATTTTAGTGGTTTCATAAAAAGATGTCAAAAAATTTTTAACTTTCAAAGCTAAATGTCAATCACGTTCAGTCAACATACCCTCGTCATCACTTCTAACATGTCTATTATTATAAAAGTCAGTTATTAAATATTCAAAACCTTCACATGACTTTAATAACAAGTAGAGTTCCACCTATGACCTACGTCGCTAATAAATGTTTTAGTATTTTGCACTCCTATTTCGGCACAATAATCTTAAAATGCTTGTTTCCTCTTGGGGAGATTGTGATATATATTAGTGCGTTCCTAATATTTTGAAATTCATCATTTATATATTTTAAACCATTTTGGACAATTAAATTTAAAATATGACATACACAACGAATATGAAACAAATACCCACCAAAATCAGGTTGTAGTACCCTATGCAATTTTTCGGCAACTACTTTATTAACATTAGCATTAAATATATTATTAGCGTTATGAGGAAACTCAATAATTCTAAAAGCAATATTTTTTTTATACATGCACCAAAGTGGGTCTATATAATGTGCAGTTGCAGCTATATATGCTCTTTTATTAATCCCTTCTCATATATCCGAAGTTAAAGATACGACACCCCCATATTTTTGCAAATCCATAATTAATTGTTGTTTTGTCGAAGTAAAATATTGTATTGTATCGGAAAGAAGATTGTTTCGACTTACCTCAACGTACATTGGCTGCAGATATTCTTTCACATACGAGACGTAGTGTTGGTTGTCAATTAATGCCAAAGAAAACTCAGCACCAGCAACAAGTTTCACCATTCCGATTCGAGCTTTCTCCTCCGAATACACCCATATGGATAGGGGTGCAGCAGAACCATTGGCATTTGGACTCCCAAATTGCAATTGTGTTTGACAGCTTGAAATAAGTCTGTGTTTGGCCGCACATACTTTGTAATGATGGTTGAGATGAATGGTACCAATTCCTCTTTGTCATGCCAATCTTTGTTGGCAGTATTTACATACTGTTTTGGATTCTTGGACTCCATTGACGACTTTTCCCGTTGAAAACAAGTTTAAAATGATCCCAACATTTTGCTTGTTTTTTTCCCTTTCGCTTTCCCCTCGTATCAGGAATGTTTAATTCAACCTCTTCTTCCTGATCGTGTTCCACTTCGGGAACGTCAACATCATCCAAATTAATTAGATAATTTGGATTGTCGCTTACATGATGATGAGGATCCAAATCTGGAATATCTTCAGCTAGGGGTACGTCATTTAGATCTTCAAATTGATTTTGAAATTGACCTTGCGATGTATAGGCGATTCGTTTCCTCCCACACCGAACAAGTTTTCGATAAATGTACGTGGATTCATTTGTTTAATTGTAATAAGTAATAACTAGTAGAAAAATAATTGTATAAATGTAGTGAGAAATGAAAATTGGATGAAATTTCAATAAATATTGTGAGAAATGAGAATTGGATATTGTATAAATTGTATATAAAAATTGTACAACTATCAACATAATATAAGAGAGTTGAGAGAAAGATAACTGAGAGTTGAGAGTGAATTGTAGAAAATTTTGTGGCTAAATCCACTATTTATAGAAGAAGCAAAAAAAAATTTAAGGACCAAAACGGTTACTGAAAAAATTCAGTGACTGTTAACGGTAAAAAAAAATTAATTCAGGGACTGAAACGGTCACTGACAAAAGTCAGTAACCATTACATAAAGTGACCGTTTCGGTCACTTTAAAAAACAAGCCCACGAGCCCGGCTCGTGGCTCGCTGCAAGCTACTCGTTTTTTGTGCTAGTCGAGTGGGCTCGGCTCGCCCACCGAACCGGCCTGGCCCACGAGCTCCGTTTTCGCGAGCCGACGAGCCCCTCAGCCCATTTGCCACCCCTACGTATGGAAATGGAAGTTTTCTGAAAATGGCAAAGGAAAAACAATACCTACTCTTATTGTAAAAACAATTTCTTACATGGAACTATATGATAAAGGCATTGAATATCGATACGAGTCTACACAAAATGGAGATTTCATCTCTTGTCCCGATAATGTCTAAACCTCTAGCTGCACCAATCATAATTGATTGCAACAACAACGTGAAGTTATTTATATCTGCCTGCACAGAAACTTTTCTTTGTGTAAGTATTTTAAATGAAGTTGTTGAGAATCGAGAAGATTTTGGTGATGAATGATGTTTATTAGTAATAGATGGTGGATAACAAATTAAAAATATAAACAACGAGGCAGAACATGATCGAACAGACAATGATGGTAATGATGACAATAGTGAAGAAATATTTGTAGATTATAATGGTTTTGACGTAAGTGAAGATAGTCCCCGAAGAGTAGATGACGAAGTTAATTCTCCTGTAGCAGATGACAATAATTTTGAATTACACACGCATGAACCTTGTAGTAGGAATATAGTGAATGGTAATGATGTTGAATGTACTCAAATTGTATATACAAGTGTAAGTTCGCTCTGTTACGAGACATCGGTAAAAATTTCGGAACGATTAGATGTGCGAGTCAACCAGTTGTTTCCATCGAAATATGACATAATATCAAAATTGCAGTTGCTAGCTATGAAGTGCCACTTTGAGTACAAAGTTAGAAGTCAAATAAGAGCATTTATACAATTATTTGTATTGATGAAAATTGCAAGTGGCGCTTAAGAGCAACCAAGATCGTAGAAAGTTCCATTTTCGAAGTTCGAAAGTATAATGGTCATCATTCTTGCTCCATAAGTATTCGTCACAGAGATCATAGGCATGCTTCATATATGATTATTGGAAACCACATCACTCCTAAGTATGAAGATGTCAACCGAGTTTAGAGATATGGCCTTCAAAGGTACTCTACTCGTAGCAACTCCTCAGGATGCAAATTTTCAAATATTTCCACTCGCATGGGGAATAGTTGATTCGAAGAATGATGAATCCTGGACTTGGTTCTTTCAGAAGTTGCGGTTAATAATAGGTAATACGAATGACCTTGTGATTATATCTAACCATGCAACATGCATAAAAAATGGAGTTAGAAATGTGTTTCGATTTGCTCATCATGGTAATTGTACATATCACTTGCAAAAAAAACTTGAAGATAAATTTTCCACTGTGTGATGTTGCAACTTTGTTTAGGGCAGCGTCAGAGGCTTATATTGCCTGGCAGGGAAAATCCACTTCCTCTAAATTTACAACCCAACTGGGCTCTGACCGAAGGCTATTGAGA